GATTAGCCGTTATTGCTTCATGTTTGTGCAGATTTTTTTGCTGGTCTTTTTTATATTCACATTTTTGCAGGTGTTGTGAAGAAAGCGGTTGGAGCGGTGTTGAAAATAGTGCATGCCGAAGTGGTGCCCGCTGAAAAGTATTCAGAATTTATTTACGCTGCTCAAGAAAACAAGGATTTGCAGGGTTTGATACCAAAAACGAAGTTCACGCTGCTGAATCCACTCGAAGTGCAACTTATCTTTAGCAAAATTGACAAAGAAGTCCTGTTTGATCGACACATTTTCTTCAAAAATATTGTTTTTAAGATCCAAAATAGGGAGAAATTTGTGGTGTAATTTTTAGCTGCGTTAATGACGCAGACTTGTGGGACTGAGATGCATAAAATGAAAAGAAATGAAGATTAGGGGACCTATAAAAATGCAAGGATATGAGAAATTTAGAGAGGAGGGGGGCAAAAAGAATGAAAGAAATTGTGTTAGTACCGAATGGACGGGCAGGAAATCGGGAAAAAAAGGGAAAAGAAAATAAGAGAACTAAAAAAAAGATTTCTTGGAACAAATTTTTATAAAAGCTCTTTAAAGCAAATTTTTTGCTTTTTAGTTGTTTTAATCTGATTTTTAATCATTTTCAAAGTTAGCCATTTTTAACAAGTCCCCAAAATAATAGGCCTTAAATGTTTATCGAAATCTGTAATGGATTTTCAGGATTTTCCACTTTTAATGGTGCGTGCAGCAGATACACCGAAGCATCCATGTGACGTTATCCTTACTCGACTTCCTGTTCCACCGTGCTGTATAAGACCTTCCGTTGTCTCCGAGGTTTCTTACAGATTTGTAATTTGCGTAAATAAAGAAATAACAAGTGAGTAAGCGGTTTAAACGATAGCGGCGACAAGCGGAGGAGAGGAGGAAAGGGGAAAGTGGGGCTACTAGAGGGAGGACGAGCGGCGGGGAGGGGAAGGGGGGAGGGTGCGGAAGAGAGTTTTCTTCAGTTTTACCTTTAAACCCGGACTTTTGTAGCACTGGTGCCTGTGTCGCTGGAGAAGAGGGGAGAGACCCATCGTCTTCCCCTCTAGTTCTTGATCCGCGTATAGGCTCACCTCGGCCAGTGGGACTCTACGATTCGTTCACTCGTTTCGATTGCAGTGCTTGTAACCACGATTAGATTAATTATAAACAAATTTTGAGCGATTGAGTCATCGACAGCCGTTTCAGCGTTTGCTTTTGCTGACTTTTTTTATGAATAATGAGAAAATTTTTGGCATTTACATATGGCATATGTAATGTTTTAAGGTGAAGTCGGGTACCACCGAAGATGATATTACGATGAAATTATCTGAAATCATTCTTATCAATGATATCATTCGAAAGCATAAAAAAGACGGAGCGCCAGCGAAAACTGTTACTGAAACATGGGACCATTTGCAAGTAAGTGACATCTTAAATACTGAAGCATTTTACTCCGATCTGCTCAGAATAATCGTTGTAATTTTTGCTTTTTGAACGGAAAGATGCGTGTAATTTGGCATATAATCTGTTATTTGGAGGCATCGTCAACCTATTACTTTGGTACTTTG